TTCTTTAAAATGTTATTGCTTAATTTGTTTTCTTCTCATAAAGGTCGGTGGTGCTTGCCGTTGTATTGTGTTCTTCTTTGTCATGTTACTGTTTTAATTATTTTCCTTTCTATACAGTTCTGGCTCTATGCTATTTTCACAGCGCATCAATTCACATGTGGATTTCGAGTTCCTATCCTAGCAACTCATCTCAAGGTTGTGTTTTCTCCTCTCCTTTTTATAGCTCCTCTTCAAAAAACATGATTTAATCAACACAGAAGAACCAGCATGACCTAAAAAAAAATCATACCAGGCCAACATATATTGATACTTCTAGTATTACTAAGTGGTGAAGAAGCTGAAAAGTCACACTATCAAACTGTATCCCTCTTCATACAAAACAAACTTTCGTATAATTTCTACACTGTACATTTGATTGAACTATCAGAAGAAACATCAGCAAACACTAATTGCAAACAAATTTAATTACAGTAAGGTTATCTAGTTTTTGCCGCTTATTCCTAATGGTCTTAATTTTCTCAATCACATCCAGAATTGGATAACTCAAGAATTGTAGAGTCATAATCTTTGGGTGCACCACCCTTTTCTCACAGTTATTATCTGTTCTGTAATTATTTTGTTTGATGTCCTTTCAATTATTGTCGCCGTTGTTGACTTCTCGTCCGCGCGTCTGTTTATTCCGGCAGCGATTTATTTTATTTGCTGCCTCGTTAATGAAGTTTATCGGTGTTCCTTCTCAGATGATCTTCTCCGTTTGCACGTTCACATCTTCACTTTTCCTTCATTTATCTACTCATTTTTCAATTAAAATTTTACGAATACGAGTTCCAACCGTGATTTTTTGGAAGGGCAGGACTTCCGCCAGAGCTCAACCGAACAAGAAGATTCGGTCCAATGGAGGCAGCATGTACGCGCCTCAATTCTTCTAATATGTTATTGTTTTAATTGTTTTTCTTCTAATAAAGCTCGGTGATGGTCGACGTTGTTTGTGTCTAACTTTGTTTAATTTTTTTCCTTTCTATAAAATTCTGAATCGATGCTGTTTTCATAGCTCATCAATTCACGTGTTGATTTTGAGTTCCTCTTCAGGCAACTCATCTCAAGGTTAGCCCTTCTCGACAGGAAACAAATTAATTAGAGAAGAGATAAGGGCACATGTTGGAGGAGTCACGAGGTGCAGGTGGCGGACATGTCGCGGAGAGAAGAAGGAGGTGCAGTCGGAGAGAGTAGAAAGAAAATCACAGTCAGAAATTGTAGACGAGGAGGATAAGATTACCATATAATAATAGGCAGAGGGCGGTGGAGCAGCGGCGGCAGAGGGGTCAACAGCTGCTGGGCAGATCTGAGGCTCGATGCGTCAAACGGCGTCGTTCTGCATTTGGTGGAATAAAAAATAAATAAAAATCTTAGCAGGCGCGTCGCCGTCGAGCTACTTAGAAAGTAAATGGAAACGAAAAGAAAGAGAGAGGCTCATTGGTGGGGCGAAACAAATCAGTGGCGCTTTGCATTAAAGAGAGGCAAAAGAAAAGGAGAAAGAAAAGGGGTAAAGGGAAAGGGTGTTGTCCCCATATATATATATATATATATAACAATCTAGCTACTCGATCCGGTAACCGTATTCGTGGATATCCGATCTACTTAAAACACGTTACCGAAACCATTATAGGGGATTAGGTACAATCTTAGTAAAAAAAATATGGTTTTACCCATGGATTTTGGGATTTAGGACATTTATAATATATGTTTAATTATTTGATATTTACATATATTGTGATTGATAATTTCATAACTAATGTGTAAGATACTAAATGAAAATGATAAATAAATTGGAATATATAGCATATATCGAATAAATTGAAAATTTGATCAATGAATATGATATGTAAGTAGCACCATTTTTGTCGATACTTATTTGTATGTATATTTTTTTTAATTGAAAACTATATGGTAGAACTGTTATAAATAATAAGAAATTTATTTTTACTTTTTCAATATTGCCAAGTTTAAAATATACTAGGTTAACACTAAAAATAATTTATGTATTAATAATCATTAAATTTACTATATTATAAATTTGTTATGGGGTTTGATATATCAAATGAAAAAAAATGAACTATCTATTTTTTCTATTTTTAAATATAAATGGTAAATGGGTGTTGGTGTTCGAATATTATTGGTAATGGTTTTGGTATTCAAGTTAAAATTTTAAATGGTTTAGGAATGAAATATGTATATTACACGGGGATATATCTAATTGGGCCGACCCAACGGGTCCCCAATTTATCTAATAATTGGGTCCACTACACGAAAGCCTAAACTACTTTAAAATAAGGCTTGGGCCCAACAAAGTAAACCAAACCCGATCAACGACATATAAATAGAGGTTTTTACTCATTTGTTAAGGTACGTTCTATGATTCACAAGTATTCTAGAGAACATATTCTCTCTACCATCTCCACGATCCGTACATCTGACTTAAGCGTCGGAGGGGTTTCCGGCGGATCAACCCCAGCTTAGTTCACGTGTATTCATTTCGCAGGGACCTCAGGGCCATCAAATGACAAGCTACTGATCCGCTTTGCTCTCCTAGCTTGTTTACCACACTACACAAGGTGATCTAAATAATTAGCATCATCACAGGGTAATGGTTCTAGCTCGGTCAGTAATGCTCGTTTGAGCTCTACTCGGTTACTTATCAATTCAAGCTCAAACACAAGTTTAAAAGCTCGATAAAATTCAAGCAAGCTTGAGGAATGCATTCGACTCGACTCGACATATTTTCACCCCTAATCACATCTAGAATTTTCATAAACAAAACCGAAAAAAAAAAAAAAAAAAAAAGCAAAACAAAACAAATACTATAAGTGAAAAATGACCTCAAAATTTGATTTCAAATTTAGAATACCTAAATATCCATTCCGATTTCAACAGTTAAAAAAATAGAATTTTCAAAAATTATTTCACCTTTTTAGTTGAATTATTTTTCAAAAAGTTAAAATTGATTTCGAAAAATGTAGCTAAGATATTTAAAATAACAAAAGAATGTGTACAAGGTAGATAATTAATCAACTATTGAAATATAAATTTTTAGTAATAATATAAGTAAATGAAAAATACATAATGTAAATATATGATAATGCATTTTTATATTTTTTAAAATATGATATTTTTTTTATTCTTTGAAATTAAATTGCTAAAAAAATTGAAATTTTACATATAATTTTAATATAAATTCGAAAAAGAATAAAACAAAATTATTAGTTAGTTTTTGTATTTGTTTATCTTACAATATAATAATAATAAAAATTATAAAATAAATAAATACTGCCAAGAATAAACACTGCTCATGCTATATTCTGATCTCACAACCCTACATGACTTCAATAGTGGGGAATTTTTAGTTGTATACTTTGACATTAATATTGGTAAGTATGGTTTACATTATCTCTAAACCCTTTATGGTTTATGCTACCTATAAAATCCAGTTCCTAATTTAATCAAGGGAAAAGTTCACTTTGCACCCCGGAATTATGGAGTGTGTCAAACGCACTCTTTAATTATAAAATATACCAAATATCTCACCTTTTGCATTATGTTTAAATACACTGACGTCACATGTTAACTTTCTCGTTACCAACAGTTATTATAGTATTTGGTGTTTTTCTAACCTTTTTACCCCATGGTTGACTATATATATTGACAAGGACTGGAATCTTTTTTTTTTCGTCGTTTTTTCATTTAGAATTAGTTCATTTTTTGCTCATTTTTTCTTCTTAATTTCAATATAATGACTAGTGGCAGCTCTAATTGTCATCAACAAATATTTTGAGTTCAATTTCATATGGGATTCTAAATCAAACCTCATAAGTGATCGGGTACCTAGTTTCTTTAATTAAAATAAGTATCTCAAAATAGGACATTAAATCAGGCTAAATGTTTCTTAATGTAAATCAAACTCCAACATATTCAAAATCCGGCAGGCTTCCATGGATTTTAATTACAGAAAATTGGTCTGTCATTATAACCTACGAACATATAAAATATAAAATAAGCTAAACAATTGCTTAAGAAATCATCTAAATACTATTTGCAAAATGAGTTATGTTTGAAAAAAGTAAATGAAAAAGTGACTTTGTATTTCTTATTGACTAAAATATTTTTTAAATTGTACTAAAGTGCACATATATTATTCATAGATGAAAGGCGGGTGTTTGTAATTGCACAATAAAATGTTGCAAAATTAATGTCTTTAGATATTTTTGTAAGTTTGATGAATAAAAAAAAATATACATAATATTTTCACTATATATCAATATAAAAAAAGATATACATAAGTTATAAATTAAAAATAAATATGTTGTGGAATCCTAAATTATTTTAACAAAACTAAAATAATATCTCGCTTTTGGGTGGGGGGTATTTTGCTTTATTTTTTAATTACTTAAAATGGCTTTGGGTAATTAGATGTTATACCTGATTATTTATATTAAGTGGATTTCAACTATAAATCTATATATAATTACACACCAGTGTATATGTGGATTTAGTGAATAATAATTTAATCAGATATACATTTAAAATTCACTTGATATAAATAACCAAACGTAACATCTAACTCCGAATGGTTTGATTGTTTCTATTAAGTCAACATGCATATCTTAATTAGCGCAGTATTCAAAACACAACATAGTGGATATTTGTTGATTTATATGAGACGATGGTTTTTTTTTTGCTTTTCCAATTAAAAATAACAGAGGCTAAAATCTATAAATTAATACAGTTCAAATTAGCAAAATTTTATTAATTTAGCCAAATATCAAATTATCGAACTAATAATCTGATACATTTTTACCGAGTCGGAATTATAAGAAATTATTATTTAAGTAATGTTATTAATTTATTGAACTTATCGAGGTCCTACTGTATATTTATTTCTTATTATTAAAAATCAAAGTGATAATTATTTTGTAACTTTTAGAGTAAATATACAAATCATTTTCAATAACAAAAACTTATTCCCATAATCCCATAATTGAGTTTAACCAAGGTTGTAACCAACAATTATATGAATCTAATCCACTTAAATATATCAATTAATTTTAATGGTCTCAATGAAACCCCTCTTCTCTCCAGAAGCAAGATGCTTCAAATAGTCCCTTAAGCTGCTCCCTTTATACATTCTTGAATTTCCATCCTCACCGTCGATCTCGAGCTCAGCAGCCGGCTCAACTACTTCATCAATGGCTAGATTATGCAAGCTAGCTATAGACAACCTAGTTATACTATCCCCACAACTCGGAATTGCTCTATGCAAGACACTCTTGTAAAACCCATTGCTTATTACCTCTAAATGCACTCCAACGAGTACTTGTAGCGACCCTTTGAGGTTCGGAACATTCTTCCACGTTTCGCCATTCTCGATCTCGAGTCCCGGGGCACTCTGCAGAAGAACGGTGATGATACTATGATCTGTGTGTGGTGGTGCGCCGATTTTCTTGTCCGATTCCGAGCATGGAGCGTAGGAATTTAAGACGAGAGTTTGGAGGCCTTGTTCGAAATTTTTTTGAAGATGATTTGTTTGGTTATCTAAGTTCAAGCTCTCCACTATTGCTCCAAATAGTTCGATGCTTAGTTTCCTCACTTCTTTCGAGTAGATACCCATTTTTTCTCTGATACAATGTGTTCGTGTGTAAATCGATGATGGATATTTACTCAGTGTACGCTTCATCGAGTGTAGCAATTTTATTATAGTAGTTTATTCCGCATTAATCTTAAACGTATATTTTTTTTATTTAAATTTGTACCTATAGTATGGAGGAGACCTCGGCCAAGACGCGAGAAAATGATCGAGTGGATTGGCATATAGCTTGAGGAAATCCCTTGCAAATTCCCCCATTTCTAACTTGCAAAATCTCACCTCCTTGCATACGTCGTCCGACGCAAGCTCCTCCTTTTCCGCCATTGGCAACTGAAAGAATTCTCCACTCACCTTTAAAGCATCTTCTATAACTCTATCCGGGATGCCATGATCGACAACCTGAACTCGAAAAGATTGTTACTTATATGTTAGCCTAAAGACAGACACAGAGAGAGAGAGAGAGAGAGAGAGAGAGAGAGAGAGAGAGAGAGAGAGAGAGAGAGAGAGAGAGAGAGAGAGAGAGAGAGAGAGAGAGGTTACATACATGGAAGAAACCATATCTGTGACAAGCATCACGGATTTTCTTGATTACCGAAGACTTTGCTAAAGGATCCCGGTGCAGGAGAGGGAGGTTGATTATTGGCAAATCCGCCATGCTTTGCTTACACACTAATTTACTGTTAATCAGTTTCTTATTTCTTTTATATGTATTAGCGATCGCTTTCTAGGTGGACAATCTTATGCAGTTTGATCACGTAATTATCTAGATAATGAACCCACCGTTTATAATTATGAGTAAAAGGCAGTTTGCCCCCTAAACTATGGGCCGTTTTGCACTTTACCCCCCAAACAAAAAAAATTTGCACGTTTTTACCTGAACTCGTTAATTCGTTGCACGGTGCCCCCTAAACTCAATTTTCCGGCAATTTTAACCGGAATCATAAAACATGTGCATTGCACGTGAGATTTTGAGGGGTAAATTCGTCCCTTCACTTGCATCTTTAATATTAAATACAAATAAATAAATAAATAAAAAATATAAATAAATAAATAAATAAAAGAAAAATAAGCTATCATCCTTCCCTGCAAACCACTTCCGAATCCTCCAGGAAACAGCCCGGATTCGAGCTGTAGAGCAAAATCGACGAATAATTAAGCAAAATCGACGAGCAACAGAGCAAAATCGACGAACAACAGACAAGCAACAGAGCAAAATCGACGAGCAACAGAGCAAAATCGACGAGCAACAGAGCAAAATCGACGAACAACAGAGCAAAGTCGACTAACAATTGAGCAAAATCGATGAACAATTGAGCAAAATCGACGAACAATTGAGCGCACAAATGAAATTGAGAGAAGAAGAAAAAGGCCATCTGGGTCCCTTCCGAAACAATCAAGAAACTCAAAACCAGTTCAAAGAAAACCACCGCCGCCGCCGACGACGGCGGCTGCAAAACGGCAAAGCCCACGAAGCCGGTAGTCGTCCTCGTACACGGCTTCGCCGCCGAGGGAATAGTGACGTGGCAGTTCCAGGTGGGTTCGCTGGCGAAGAAGTACTCCGTCTACGTGCCGGACCTGCTCTTCTTCGGCGGGTCGATCACGGATAACCCGGACAGGTCGCCGGCGTTTCAGGCGGAGTGCCTGGCGAAGGGGCTGAGGAAGCTGGGAGTAGAGAGGTGCACGGTGGTGGGGTTCAGCTACGGCGGAATGGTGGCGTTCAAGATGGCGGAGATGTACCCGGAGATGGTGGAGGCGATGGTGGTCTCCGGGTCGATACTGGCGATGACGGATTCAATAAGCGCCGCCACGCTGGAGGGGCTGGGGTTTTCTTCCTCGTCGGAGCTTCTGCTGCCGGACTCCGTCAAGGGTTGTAAGGCGCTGCTCAAAGTCGCCGCTCATAAGAAGTTGAAAAATACAAAATATTTTTTTATTTTTTGTTTTCTTTCTTTTGTTTTAATTTTTATTTTTTTTTGTTGTTTTAAAGAATAATTTATATTTAATATTAAAGATGTAAGTGAATGGACGAATATAGCCTTGCAAATGTCACGTGCAAGGCACATGTTTGAACTTTCCGGTCAAAATTGCCGGAAAAATTAGTTCAGGGGGCACTGTGCAACGAATTAACGAGTTCAGGTAAAAACGTGCAAATTTTTTTTGTTTGGGGGGTAAAGTGCAAATCGGCTCATAATTTAGGGGGCAAACTGCTTTTTACTCTATAATTATCTAGTGTTAATTGGTAGTGTGCATTTACGATTCGATTTCACGTGCTTAGTTTATTGGGGCAATTTGCTATAGGTCCCTCTATATTATAATTTATGTGTATAGATCCAAGTTAAAATCTCTATATTTTAATAAATTAATTATATTTTATTGTTGCAAAAATACCCTTAACCAAATCAATTTCTAATCCCATAAACACTCCTCAATCAAAATAAATCTCTCAGATCTCCCTCTTCCAAATTTTAACTAAAAAACAAATTAATTCGTAAAAAGAAAAATCTATATTATTGTAAAAACTCATACTCTAAAAATACAGTCACAGTCGGACAATTGCTTGTGACTTCGTATAATGGAAATAGCAAACTGAAAAATTAGAATTTGCATTATTGAATTGCAAATGACGAATTAACTATGATTTCGTCAAATGCAAACAGCAAACTGAAGAAAAAAATCAGCAGAATTTGCATTATTGAATTGCAAAAAAAAAAACAACCTATGACTTCGTTAAATGCAATAGGAAACTGAAGAAAAAAAATCAGCATCATTAAAGACATCAACAAAAATTTTGTTTATAGAACATATTGCAAACAACAAAAATATTAAATAAAGCGTTTGCAAAGTGTAACTTAAAACATACATTCCAAATTGTAAACCAGAGTAATCAAATCTCGACACCAAATGCAATACTTCAAACAACAAACGAAGTTAACCTAATCTGCAAACGGAAATTGCTAACAACAAACGATGGGAAGGTTCTACATATGGAAGGCGCAATGCAAATTTTGGCTAGGGTATTGGATTTCTGAAATTCGTTTTAATTTTTTTCTTTTTGTGGAGGGGGGGAATGAAGATGTTTGTTGTTCGCTTTTAACTCTATCACCAAAAAATCATCTCATAATTTAAAAAGCTCCCATTCTTTTTTCTTCTCGATAATATTTCTTCAACCAAAAAAAAATAGGAAGAAAAAGGAAGGAAAAAAAAATTTAAAGAAAGAGGGAGAGAAGGGAAATACAGATGGAGGAAGAGAGATGACGTCTATATATTAATTATTTAATTTTATTTATATTTTTCTTTTAGATAAAAAGACTCATGCGTATATTCATCTACTAACTAAGAATTCTACCTATATAAGTCCAAAATAAAAGGTGTCTAACAAATTTCCCCTAATTTATTAGAGAGAAGAATGGTGTTTAGATGATTCATGTATTAGATAGATACACGCTAGGAAAATTCTATAAATAGACAATGCAGTAGTTCATTTGTATTAGATAGATACACGCTACAAAATTTCTATAAAACAAGATGACAGTAGGAATGGAGAACTTTTTAGCAATTCGACAAATTTGTGTCGGTTGAGTAAGAAATTTATAAAGCGACTGTATCAATTTATTCCGTTGTGTTTACGGTACACACACAGACACACATTCAGCAATTAGGACATAAAATTAAACCTCTATAAATTAATACAGTCAAGATCGACAAAATTCTATTAATTTAGCGAAATATTAAATTATCGAACTAATAATTTAATACGTAAAAAAAATATTATTTAAACGAGGTTATTAATTTATCGAGTATTAATTCATCGAAGTTCTACTAATACAAACTTTGAATGGTCACTAAGAGGGAGCACAAAAGGGTCTAAAATCACATTTGAGCAGTTACTATTTATTACAGAGCGCATATACTTTTGTTTCTGCCTATCAACCTCCGATAAATCCTCGAAAACTAATCTTACAAAATTAAATACACCTACGTAGTAAAATCCAAACACTACTTAAAAACATCCCGGAAAAAAAAAATATTAGTTTTTTTTTTATCATCATTCTCTAACTAAGCATCATCATCATCATCCTCGTCAGCATCCTCATCAGCATCCTCGTCAACTTCCTCATCAGCATCTTCTTTCTCAGATTCCTCACCAGACCCGGCCGCCTCGTCAGCATCTTCTTCATCATCGGACATGCTTTTTATCACTTCAGTTATTATTTCTTTAACTTCTTTTTTCCTATGCAATAAATCTACCTCAAAGTGCTCTCCTGATTATCATTCAATCAAGAAATATTTAGCAAATTAAACCAAAGACTGAAAAAAAAACAAAACAGAAAAAAAAAAAAAAAAAAAAAAAAAAAAAAAGAATACTAATTTAGCAGCAGTATCAAAAATAGGGATCGCATACCGAGCTGTCTGAGGATGTCTGATAACGTCGCCTGCAGTTTTAAGTATGCGAAATTATCAATGATATTATTCGACATAAACACCTAATAATAAAAATAAAAATAAAAATAAAATAAAAACAAATTAATAAACGGTACACTTACTTTGTTGAAGTCTACTTCCTTCAGTATATCAACTACTACTGCGTGCATTGCTTCTCTGCTAGGCTCTCTTTTAACATTTTTCTTACTCTTGCCTCCTATTAATTCAAACAAATTTCAGTTAAAAAAAAAACACGAGACAGTGTATTACATTGAAATTAAAATCGGCAATTCTGGAAGAAAAATATTGAACATTAGATAATTCTAAGCACATGAATCGAATCAATATTTCTAGACTTAATTAGATTATATGCCTAGGTAATATAAATTTCGATTCGAATTCATGTGCATATGGTAGCATTCTTGCACAATATTACATTTAGCTACTACATAAAGGAAATCAATATTTCTAGACTTAATTTTATATAAAAAGAAGGAACTAAAGAAATATTTGATTGCAATCAAAGCAAACTTAGAGAGAAGGTTCTTGAATTATAATAAAACGGAGCGTGACTTTATAAAATTCAGCTATTTCAAATATAAAAGCAAGTAACCTTAAATCGAATATAAACATAATACCTTGATTCTTTTGCGAAGCTTTTGCCGAAGACTTGCTCGACTTTTCTTTGGTTGAAGAAGTACCCTTTGCAGGTGCACTCGTATCCTTGTCACTATCCTTGTCAGCTTTTTGTTTCTTAGTCACCGGCGCCTTCGTTTTACCCTTCGATTCTGGTTCAGCAGCTCCTTTCTTGGATTTAGCAGAGGATTTCGACGGCGTTGCAGAACTTCCTTTACTAACAGGCTTAGTATCTTTCTTTGCACCTCCCTTGGAAGAATTCGGCTTCTTGGTTTCAACTCGATTTTCGTCCGCCTCTTCTTCAGAGTCATTCTCTTCGCGGTCACTTTCTGCTGCAGGAACTGTGATGTCATCATCGTGATCGTCTTCGCTGTGTAAAGATTCGCTTTTATCATCGTCAACTTCTTCGGTGGGCTGTTTTCTCTTCTTCCCAGATTCAGACTCCACTTTTTGTTTCTACATGTCAAATAAGAATATTACGGATTTACTCAATACATATATAGACACATTTTTATACATATATAGACACATTATTACACATGTATATTATACACTCACATACCACCTATATTAATATTTCTAAAATATTTTTTTTTCCCGTACACAGTGTACATACAACAGGCCTAACCTTAGCAGATTTTGCTGCAGTCGCATTAGACGAACTCGGGCTTTTGCTCGCTGAGACCTTACCCTTCCGCTTCTTACCCTTCAAATGTTATGGCGAAATATAATATAAATTAAAAGGATCAATCAGATTAACGTACATTAAATACAAAGCAGATAAAATTTACCTTCTCTTTGTCAGCAAGCAAGGTATCTGTTGTAGCATGAGGAGATTCTAAGAACTCCAATAACTTTGCAGAGAGTTCTTCCTGTATAAAATTAATTTAATATTTCACTACTGTATATATTATAGTTATTTTATATACACTCCATAATAGAATACTGAAAGACATTTTATATACCTTCTTTGTAGCAGCTTTATTGACTGAAATATTAAGAACGTCACAAAAATCCAGCAATTTTTCTTTAACACATTTGTCGAGTTTCTCCTTGACTTTAGTCCTCTGCTTTTCCTGTTGAAGATGTCATGAAAACCGAGTACTCGAAATTAATAACAAAGAAGAAATACAGGCAACATACCATGACAGGGAACTTGCTTAATTCAATAAATAACCCGAAAACAAACATCCGCAGTTTGCATTTCTTGCATTTGTAAGAGTTGACAAAACTTTAAGATTTGATAGCACCCAACAAATGAATATTTAATCAATCGACCGACATGAAACTTGTAAGAAAATAATTTTTAGAAAAATGTGCCTTCTCATACAAACGTTAGAATTCAACGAATTCTTCAAATCCTCATAGATTACGTACTCTCGTTTTTTTCAAAGTATCTTACAGACATCTTATTCAGTCTTTGAAGGAGCTTTAAGACAACCAAACACCCTCAAAGTGAGTGAAATTTTCTTCACAATTTCCTTACATTCACTAAACTTAAGTTGACTCGTTTAACAAAGACATTATTCTCTAGGCATTTTTCAAGAACTATATATTCAATATGTTCTGGTAGTATGTTGTATCGACACAATTACTGTAAACCTTCAACAGTTATGCAACTGCTCTTGCAGACCACAGTTCATCACATATTACTGTAGATACTTTGAACTTTTTTACCACCATTTAAGCAATCAGTCATTGACATACGATCCACTATAAATAGAAGCTAAGAATTTTGACAAACGAAACCTCGAAAAGGATGCTTACCTCATTCTCAACCCATACAAAACCAGAAAAGAGGCCGATATTTTTCTTCAGAGTATGCGCCTGAACAAAAGATCCATAAAATGCTTCAAATCAACCAAGCAAGATGCTAAACTAAAAATAAAAAAAATAAAAAAAAAAGATAAATAAGAAACCTTCGCTTTCTTGCCAAAAAGAACTGTATGAAGAAGCTGCAGATTCTCATCAACTTTTCTCTTGGACAACTTGAAAGCCACTGAAAAAAAAAAACAGCAAAACAGCTCATTTTCTCAAACTTATTACATCATGAAATATCACAGACCCTATACAAATCCTGGCAAAGAAGCTACAAGAAATCATATATGATACAAGAAGCTAAGTTTTCACGCGCTATTTACAAATGATGGTAGAAACTAATAGATGAACCTCATCAAACATAAATGTTAACCGACCATACAGGATAAACTTGAAGCACAGGAAATACAACTCACAAAAGGCATAGTCAGTGGAGATTTGTAAATCAAACAGAACTGTTTCCGATTTAATGCTACAAACATCTATACAACTTCATATTAAGAACAAAATGTTTCTACATCCTGTAACAATCCTCCGTCTGGTAGATATAAACAATAATCTCAATTCTCAGATAAATACTAATCAAAGCAACATAATTTCCAAAACAACCATCTTACTGGAAAGATGATTGAAGGCTTTCCATTTTATTTTCCAAAAACACAATTGCATAGTCAAGTGTGGGTTAAAAAGAAAACATACCATTAGGGATTTCCTTAAGCTGTGTTCCTCGGCCCTGGAAGCATTGAAACAATACGGTTATTAGTGAAAAGTTCAATACAACCATAACTCACACTAAATCTTCATAAGGATCCATTTACTCTTAAAACACATGTTTTAATCTAATCAATTTTCAGATTTTTTTTTTCTCCTTTCTCCTTTCATATTGTTAAGTATTCCACAAAAACAACACTGCATCAATCATGAATACTGCCAGATGAAAACATAATATGATGAACTCTAATAACATTTAAACACGATCTCAAATATCTACAAATTTTAATTTTCATCTTAAATCACTTTTCCCTTTCACCAGAGGATAAGAACATCCCAGTCCAAATCAATATCAATCAACGGACACGTAAACAATCGCCCCACAAAACCTATCAAAACACAGGCTAGTAGTTTTCCAGATAGACCAAAAACATACCGGAATTAATTCATAGCTATTGAACATCAAACCAAAAGAACCCTTTTACTATCTATACAAACCATACACTTTGTTTTGTTTTCCCCCACTCAACACAACAAATATATAATTTATGCTCTGTATATTTTGATCCAAAATTCAAATCACTCTATCAAACACAACACAATTTCACAACAATAACTACGAAAAATAATGGTGGTTCGCGATACCTTCTCAATTGACAAAGTTTTGGTAGCAGATCCTCTTGCACTCTCACCCACCATAAATCTTTCCACCGTCTTCCTCTCCCTCGTCGGCCTCTCACTCCCAGGCGTCCTAGGCGATTTCAGCTCCTCCGTTTCGCCTTTCTTCGCTTTCCTCGATCCCTTCTTCACACTCTTCTTCTCAGTCTTTTCCTCCTCCGATTCATCTCCTTCGTTTTCTTCGTCTTTCCCCTTCCCCTCTTCTTCCTCCTCCTCATCTCCCTTTACATCTTCTTCTTCTTCTACCTTTTCATCTGCCTTTCCTCCTTCCTCCTCCTCCTCTTTCACTTCTTTTTCTTCTTCCCCTACATTTCCTTTTTCTTCATTTTCCTCCGCCTTTTCTTTTACATCTTCATTTTTCTCCTCCTTTTCCCCCGCTTTTTCTGCTTCTACTTCACCGGCGCCTTCCTTAACTTCGCCTTTCTCTTCGATTCCAGTTTGATCCTCCTCCTCTTGCTTCTCGCTCCTATCCACGGTTTCCTTTTCGGAAGCCATAAAAAAAAATCTCAAGATTTAACCAGACGCAAAAACCCTAAAATCTGCGCGCATATATGCACGGGTACGAACACCGAATCTGAGAATTCCGGAGCAATTACGATGAAATTGAGCCAGTAGGGAGAGTTTGCTGTGTGTGTACGCGGAATTTGGAGTGAGATGTGAATTGCAATTGAAGAAATTAGGGCAAAATATTTGGGTGGAAAGGCGGGTATATTTTGGAGCTGAATTTTGAAAAATTTCGCTGAAAATGAAAAAAAGTGAAATTTACCCAAGGCGGTTCGCGTCAATTGTCATCCCACTATCACCTTTAAAAAGGTATGTACCAGCGATACAGCACGGTGTACAATACCACTTCTTAATCCAGTTTCTTCTGCATTTGACTTTATTATTTTACAGTTTACAGGAAATAAATTTTCAACCATTTTTTGCATTCAAATTGTACAAGATAATTCTAAAAATGAATGTAAAAAAACTACGGAAATGTAGTTTATATTTTAAAGGGTAAATTACGGCAACCCTCGTCACGTTAAATTAAGGAAGAAAAATACTCTCATATTTGGATAATTATAATTATTTTTCTCAACCTATGAATTTTCTTACACGTTCACGGTGTCAAATTTCGTGAATTTTTCTAAATTATGTGGAATTTTTTTACGTTTGTACCCGTTTTATCGGATTCGAGCTCCACATTTTTAAACAAGATGATCATAAAATGTGTCTCTTGACTTGTAAATATCAGATTGTGGTGTATCAGAAACTGCATGTTTGCATAAAACGAGAACAAACTTAGAGAACATTCTATGGAATGTAGAAGATGCTGTTGAATTTGACACTATATGGGTGAACGTTTAAGAAGATTCATAGTTAGAGCGGTGATTGTAATTACGCAGACATGAGGGAGGTTTTCCGTAATTTGACCTTACCTTAGAGGTTGGCCGTAATTTCTCCTATTTTAAATGAATAATAAAAATCACAGGAAGCAATACTTAATCCTTTTTAAGTCGTATATAATTTATGAAATTAGATCTAAAATATTTTAAGTTTAAAAGATGAAATTTTATTTTCTTTTGAAGCTTTAGAAGATGGTCATTTTTATTTGTTGTTGTATATAAAAAAATACGAATTTGATAAGGAAAAAAAAAAGAAAAAAGAAAAAAAAAAGAATAAACATTAAACGAAAAAATTTATCAATGCATTATATATTTGATCGATCATTTTCTCTTCTGAATTTTTTTTCCAAAGGCACCCAAAATATTTAACTTGACAAAGTATATATTTATTGTTGGATAAATTACGTCTATATCTTTAAGGTATGCTAAAATAATTTTAAGGTCCCTATAGTATTAGTAATGAAAGTCACACTTGAACAATTATAGGAACCAAGATTTCATGTCCTGGGGACCTATATGCGCTATATTTGTTTTCCGCGTGAAAATTTTATTAAGAAATGTTAGGAGAATCATGTCACCCCTAGCTCTATGTTGTCTTCACCATTGCCTGAAACTAATAGTCAGTTAGAACCCCAACGGAAAAATTTATCCAATGCATTAATTCCGTTAGTGTTTCTAACAATGTTTCAGGGTATAATTGTAATTAACGATACTACAAGAATCTTAAAGTTATTTTATCATAGCTCAGGAGTGTAGATGTAATTTACCCTTATTTTTTCAGAAAGAAAATTCAAAGATCTACGAATAACATATATTATAGAGATAAATATTCAAGACATTATAGCTCGTTGGTAAGCATCTTGCACGCACTTCAAGCCTATTTGGTCATGAGTTCAAGACATCATGAGGGGAATTGGAGAACCAATAACATATGTAACACAGACACGAAAATAGTGATACGGGAAAACTGGTAAATACTATTGGATTACTCCAATGCTTCGGGTACTATGGACCATCTACCATCCATTGCAGTGGTGGACCCGATGAAACGGCATATCCCAAAAATGGTTGTTAAATCGTAAATTGAATCGAAAATCGATTTGTCCAAAATTTAGATCGTAAATCGAATCGAATCGTAAATCGTAAGATTTGTAATTCTTTCAAAAATAATATATATAGTAATTATATATTAAAGAAATTATATAGTGTTATAACAAATTTATATGTCTTTTAAAATTTATAAAGTCAAACTATAAAGTTGTATCCTGGACATTATAAAGAATTTCTTGAATTAAATATAAATAAAGAAATGTCCTAATACAAGCTCACTTATGCTATTAAAATTGGTGGCGTCTGAGAAAATCGAATAAAAATACAAATGTCTCTTGAGAACTAATAACACAAAATTATTTAGAAAAAAATAGAATTGAACTTATTCCTATTGATTTTCCTACTTTATAGTGCAACAATAGATGAGGAATAGAAGCAAAAGTAATATTATATTGTGATTTTCTTTTTATATATGCTTGATTTAATGGTATTTAATGGGATAAAGTGTTGACAATAACGTAATAATCACATTAATTATTTCTCGGTAAAGCCTAATGTCTTTTTAATTGAAATTTGTTATAAATAATATAATAAATTAAAATTTTCTTAAATCGTAAAAATCGTAAATCGTAAGATTTGATCAATTTTTTTAAATTTAAGATTTGTTTTAAGATTTGAATTGATTTAGGTGTGAATCGAATCGTACGATTTGAATCGTAAATCGTAATTTAATAAGCATGATTGAAAGTATAGGGGTGTTATTTATAAATATGCTATATAAACATATATAAGTTTATTTATATATAATTTTGTTTTTATATTTCCACATAAATATTATTATCAACTATAGATTTGCAATTGAGTAATAGATCATGTAATTAACTAGTGAAACAACAATTTTTTTTTAGAATTTTGCTATTCAAACATGTTTCTAACTTTTTAGAAATTACAAAATGACCACAATGTGTCCTTGAGTGTCGAACACGAAACATGTCCGAAAGGCAAAATCATTAAAAAGTTGAAGTTTTCGTGCTACCAATTCGGTAACTATCTGCTTGCTACAATTACCTGCAGAAACGAGTTATAACACTTGTGAGCTCGCATAGGAAGTATGGATGAAATTTCACTTGAAGCCAATTAATTGAAAAGTATGAAGTCCCACGGATCCACAAGCCAAGTCCATTTAAGTTTCACAAAAGTTCATATTAAAGTCCAAAGCTAAAACTCTTAACAAGATAGTTGGGCTTTAGATTCTATAATAAACATTAATTTTTCAACACTTCAAAGTACAAGATATCATATATTGTTAAGCTTCTACAATATTAGAAATATTACTTTAATACCACTTAAACTAAGCTTTGGTGATATTGAAGAGAATATTGTCACACTTTTAACTCTGTGGCAATTAAACATATAAGCAGGGCGGAACCAGGATCACAATGTAGAGGGGCTAACTAAAATTTTGGGGTTCGGGACAGCGGTCCGAAAAAAATTTTAGGTGCACAAAACATTACAAAAAATAAGTTTATATAACTAATTTTTAATTAAAATATATATATATATATATATATATATATATATATATATATATATATATATATATATATATCATATTTTAATCATCACAAAAAATTCTAAATTAATTCAAATTATTCTAATAATATACTGCACTTAATATTTCGGAGATTCATGGCACGATCTCATCTTTTTTTTAAGGTGTTAGAAAAAAAATCAAAAATAAGTAATATTCATAAATTTTATTTAAAATAATACAAGTTTTAACCATCTTATTTTATATTTTATATTAAATATGATATATTTATCTATAATATATATAAGATTTTGGAGAAAAAACAAAAAAAATAATGGGTCAAGATAAATATTTACAAAAACTTTGGGGGGCCAAAAGTAATATTCAAAAAAATTAGTACCAAATATCTAAAAAAAAATCTTGGGGGGTCAACGGCCCCCCCATGCCCCTATCAAGTTCCGCGAGTGCATATAAGGACATCTTTTATTTTTAACTTTGGTTAGTTATTATGCAAATGGGATTTTAACTAGGTCGAGAAACGTGCACATGTCGCAAACTTGTTCTACTCGTGTTAGTAGATTATTTTTGAGTTGTTTTACTTCCATGCCCTTTTAGAGTACTTGAGTGGTGATCAGGTTCCCAAATTTTTTTCTCACATGGAGTATTTATCACTCGACCTCATAGGCCGACTTCTAAAGGAAACTAGGAATCTTTGAAAATACTGACAATGATGAATTGTCGCTCAAGGTAAATACTGGAGAATGAGAGGTTGGTTACTGCGCATGAACTAGTGATACTAATTGGAGAGGTGTACCACATAGAGATCATAATAAGAACACATGATGATGAAGTACTAGAACGCGGTCGATCCGACAGAATCCCTCGGACACTCAAGTTAGTATTGCAATTATGTGATCAAATCTGATAAAATATAAACGTTATTTCTTATAGTTAGTTATAAATAACAAATGATAATAGTAATTAATTGTGTACTTCAAATATTTAGTTGATGTGTATTATAGGCTCAAAACATCTTGTGTAGTAGACAATTTCATGGCCTATAACGGTATAACCTATGAATTTATATTCTTCTCAATTGAAAATGAATGTTATTTCTAAGCTTATTGAGATGAATCAATAGAACATATCATACATATACTTCTACAGACGATTCGGAGGAAGAACCCCCGAATCCACGTAGTAATAATCAGCGGTACAAATCGGATTCGAGTATATTATTACCTACATATAAAAAAGGGTATTAAAGAAAAGTGTAATATTTTATTTAATATATGAAATCTTTAATCCCTTTTGGGATTAAAAATGTTGAAGTTGATTCTAATACGTGGAGGTTGATAGAGATGATGAGAGGCTCAATCAATCATGTATAAAGTGTTCAATTTATTTGTTTCCATTGGTTAACACAATAACACTTTACTCCTAAATCTTTGTATTTTATTGGCCCGAATAATACTTTCTTGATTCTTCTATTTGAGAAGCCACCTGTCCTTGGCCAACTAATTAATACTCATGTAATTTAGTTCGTGATGGGAAATTTATTTATTTAATTTGGAAATTGACAAAAGTACTTGATTATATTAATAAAGGGGCAAATTGCACTTCAACCCCTAAAAAAAATGCCTTTTTTGCACCTTTCCCCTCAAAATACAAAAATGAGATTGTCCCCCTTCGAAATATACAACTAGGTGTACTTTGCCCCAAATGTGTATTTTCGATTTAATTTTTCTCAAGGGTAATTTCGTCTTTTAAGGCTTTAAATGTCATCTAACCTTTTTTCAAACCCTACATCGCAATGATTACAAAGAACAAGGAACAAACT